CTGTTAGAAAGCTGAATGGCTACGCTTTAAAATGAATGTAAACTTTAACGTTTTCGTCTATTATTTGTTTAGCAATTTACATTTCAGTCGAGGATTGCGCTTTTTTTGATACACCCTGTATAACAGGGAAGTGAGCAAATTGAGAAATATACCCTGAAATGTAGTCATACAGATGAATATATGAACATATCTTGGGGATACAAACAGATCAATATATTTGTGTAATGATGCACATGATCAAAATTACTCCAGTGGCAGTGTAAGTGGACTAAGTATAATCGCTTCATTTATATTGTTTATTTGAATAGTACATGCACACATTTTATATGCATGACAGAATTAAATGACGTGTCGTTGTCACTTGTTACCGCCTCGTAACTGTATAAGAAAGCAGATCACGCATTGCTTGTTATATAACTGATTTTCCCGTCACGAAATCACTGTCAATTCATTAACATGAGCGTAACTGAACAGCAGAAAGCTTATCATTTGAGAAAAGTGAGAACACGTTTGCAAAGACTGGATATCAACCAAGATGGCTACATCTCACGCGAGGATTTCGAGCTCATGGGCAAAAGATTGATAGAAAACACTAGTGATATTACCAAAGAGAAATCGGAAACTATTTTAGCAACATTTGCGACGATTCCTGATTTACTGGGCCTTAAACCTGGCGTGAAAATACCGTTAGAAGAAATGGCGAAAATCGGCAGTGATACCATATTGTCTGGCAAGAGACCGCCAGGAGTGCATGATATGCTGTTTGATTGCATCGACACAAACAACAATGGAACCATATCCATCGAGGAATACAAAGTTTACTTCAAAGTTATAGGGCCCAATATAAGTGACGAAGAAATGAAGCATTCTTTTAATACCATCGATTCAAATGGAGACGGTGTAATTAGTCGTGACGAGTTTCTTGCTGCAGCGGAGGATTTTTTCTACGGAGTGGAAGAAACAGAGCTATCGAATGTGTTTTACGGAAAATTAGTGCCTTGAATATTTTAAGTTCGTCTTATAATACAGTATATGTTTGTACAAAATAAGTTGAATGCATTTGGACACATAGACTATAGTTGTTGAGTTTCTTTTGTCCTTATACTGGTAAATACTGTAGATAAATTATTAAGATCAGTTTAGAGATATTTACGGCCCTAATCCATAATTAAAAAAATAATCTACACAATCCCTGCATGTATAATTGTTGAAGTGCTCTCGATTTTAAGTCGTCAAAGAGCGGAGACTAAAGAAGGTGGCTTATTTAGTTTGCAAGTTGAAGAATCGGTTTATTAATTGAAAGTCAAAGTAGCTGGAAAAAAAGGTTCACGATGTGAAACATAAACATTCAGGGAAACCCAAAATATCTTGGGTTATGTACGCCTTAATTAAATGAATTAATATTAGTACAATTTCCGGATTTCAAGATATTTAATATATAGCTAAGTGGAATCCTTAATATCATAATGATATGCAGGCTAATATAGCAACAAGTTCTAGTTCGTTGTTGGAATATTGAATATTGTGTTAACGGATCACTTGGTCATGAAAAGCCAGATAATACAGTTTTTTGGAGCAGTGTTTTGTTTTGGCTACATTTAACAATTCCCCAGTTCGGCAATTGCCTTAATTCGATAGTGTAAAACATAGACGTGGTGAGCTGTTGAATAGTTACAAAAGGCGCCTCGTCACTCTTTGTATATATCTTCGTTATTCAAGTTTTATAAGGGTTTATGTTTTGATGCAGTGTTGGAAAGTGTCCGGCAACCAGGAAATTTTTAACAAATATCTTCACAGGAAATGTTTTACATCTTTTAGGAAATTTTCCTTATCTCATATTGAAATGGCATACTACATATACAACTTAGTTGTTTAAATTTCCAGATCCGTTTTGCAAATCGAAATTGTCATGAGTCAAAATTCAAAATTGATATTTACAATATCTTCCACGTAGCTGCAGGAATTTTTTCTTTCCCTAAATTCTCTAAATGCTTGCATGACTTTTTTTCAAATTCCACTCTTTGCACGAATATTTTTTGGGATATCTACCCCCCCCCCCCCCACGATTCTAATGGTCCATCCCTAACTGTAGCGAACTACGTTTTTTATACAACTAGCCCCTGCAGGATTGTTAGTAACTAATTAAAAATATTAAGATCCATCTGTTCTTCTCAATATTTCAACTACAAATCTGTATGGTAAGAATCTATAGTTTTGTTTTCAATCAGTAATTCAATATAAGGCACAACTTCTCTTGGTGTGATATTCTGCGAGAAAAACTTCACAACCTTTCCATTCCTGTCCACCAAGTATTTTCCAAAGTTCCACTTCGGGTAGTCCGAGGTTGCTTTGTACAAGTAGACGTACAATGGATGAGCATGCTCTCCTCCAACATCAATTTTTGAAAACAATGGGAAGTTCAGATTGTATTGCTTTTTGACAAATTTTAAAATACTCTTGTCATCGTTTGGTTCTTGGTGTCCAAACTGGTTGCAAGGAAATGCTATAACTGAAAAACCATGAGATGAAAACTCTTCCTGAATCTGAACCAGTTCTCTATAATGACCATCTGTGTAACCACATTCACTTGCAACATTTACCAACAGCAAGACCTAAAATACAAAATTTTCATCAGTTACAGATCAAAACAACGTTGTTTTAGCTGAATGAACATACAGTCGAACCCCTATTAACGGACACCTCTCTTAAGCGGACACATACCTCGGGTCCCAATGATTTCTTTAATAAAATACTATTATCTTCAGCCCTATTCAGTGGACATCTCTATTACATGTAAGCGGAAGCAGACACTTGACTCGAGGTCCCAATGAGCGAATAAACCGGACAAACCTAACTGAATGTAATTTTAACAAAAATCAATTTGAAGAAAATTCACTAAACGCGCGTATTTGTTTGCAGTATTTCTATGTAGTATAAACGCTAATAACTTGTTTGAGCTAATCGCTAAAAACTTTTTCCCCTTGAATTTGTCTTTCGAGCAATAGACCTTATGCATAATGACGTCACAAGGCTTGATGCCCGCGAGGAATGCTGGTCTTAGTAGTCATCACCCAGGAAAATTAAACAATTCAAAATGGCCACTATCGAAATTTTCCCGGGCAGTGACTACTAAGACCAGCATTCCTCGCGGGCATCAAGCCTTGTGACGTCATTATGCATAAGGTCTATTGCAAGTCTCCTCTTACAACTGTTCCTAAATTAGTTGGTCGTTACTTCCTGCTGTGTTCGCTGTTGCAAACTCCTAGCCTTATTGGCTGCTGTGTTAATCTTATTAAACAATCTATCTATCTTAAGCGGACACCCCTTTTAAGCGGACGCATTAGTGAGGTCCCCAAGGCCAAGATGTCTGCTTAATACGGGTTCCACTGTAGTAAATATGCAAGCTTTCAATTAATCGCGTAAATAAATGTAAAAGTATCAGAAGTGACGCCCGTGAGGACGTGACGCCAAACTCCCTAGCTATATACTAGCTATAATGTATTACCGTTGCAGTAAAAAATACGTGTAGTTTAACAATAACATGTTCTTTCGTTCTTATGACATGCGATGAAAACTGAAGATCAACTGCCACCATGTCCATGCATTATTCTTGAAACGTACTCATGACGATATATTCGATTGTACAAC